AGGAAAAAAAAAAAAAAAAAAGAAACTAATATAGTTTCGTGCGCTGTGTCATTTATATTTCACCAGGTTAAAATAATATCTCAAGCTTTGTGCTTGATTTATTTGTAATGCATTAACCTCAAAACCTTTTCAGCTTTCTCTTTCTGCAAATTGTATGGTGTAGCGATATGACAGCACCCAGAATACTATCAAACACTCCAACGCAGCTCCATTCTTCGTGAAAGATGGATAAAAAGGCGCCCAGCAAACAAAAACCTCGAAAAATTATATGGGTTCACCATCATCTCACCTGCCATAAAGGGTTGAAGCTACATGGGAAAGACATTGGGCAGCCTCTGGAGGCCAAACCCAAGAAGAAATGAAGACAAAGCCTCGAAATCAGCCCGTCTCCAGACGTCCCGTCCTCCTCCTCCTCCTAACCCGGGCTGATGGCACTGGAGTCTCAGTGCTGAGCTGCATTAACAGTGACGGTATTCACAAACTCAAAGTGCTGCGATACAGTTTGGCAGTTCCTTGCTTTGGCATGAAGTCTTTCTCTTGTGGAGATGAAACATTTCAATCAGCCTGTTTTTATTTGCAGTGATTTATAAATAGGCCACGCTCACACAGCAGCAGAATACAGTTGTCAGTCCTGTATTTGAGTCCTTAATACAGTTACGTTCACACACAGTTCGGTTATTAATTCGGTTATTACCGTTATTTACGGGTGTGACAACCGCATTCTGTAACTGAACTCACACCTGTACATTTTCAGGACTCACAACCGCATTCTCGGAACACACGCGCTGTGTGAACGGAACAGGACTGTACAACTAGTTGTCTGTCACGTCATACAGTGCAAGAGAGAGCCGCTCTGCCTCACAAACGCGTGTTTACAGTGTGTTACTTGTTTTCATGTGTGTTTTCGGTAACTTACAGTGACGGAGAAATGAGCTGCGTTTCTGTCACCTGAAACTTTTAGATCCCGTCAGTATTGTGTTCTGTGCACGACTCAAATACACCGCTCTCTGCCCAAATTTAAAAGCTGCTGTCAGTTAATGAAGATTTGACGGATGAACTCGTGGCTCATTTGGACTCTTGTCGTGTCAGAAAGTGATAAGACTTTCAGTTTTATGCCCGTCGCCATCTTTGATTTTACTTTGGTCACTGTCGCTATGGTTACTGGTAAGGAATACGGGCTTGACTCCCGTTGCACGTTCATACAGACAGTAATCTAAACACAACTGCAAGCTGCTGTGTGAACGTGACATTTCGAGACTCACACCTGTAAAGAAAATGCGGTTGTCAATCGCAAAAATTGACAGTGTGAACGTAGCCTATTTTGTCTTAAGCCCTATTCGCATGGGATTAGTATTATCTGGGGATCTTGTGTGATTTTGAAATCCCCCCCCCCACCCCACATCTGAATTTTGTGTGGTGCATTAGCACAGGATAAGCGAAGCCTGTGATTTTACTCGAATTTACTGACTTATCTCCCGGATACCCGGATGTCAAGGCTTTGAAGGATAAAAAAAAAAAAAAAAGAAACTAATATAGTTTCGTGCGCTGTGTCATTTATATTTCACCAGGTTAAAATAATATCTCAAGCTTTGTGCTTGATTTATTTGTAATGCATTAACCTCAAAACCTTTTCAGCTTTCTCTTTCTGCAAATTGTATGGTGTAGCGATATGACAGCACCCAGAATACTATCAAACACTCCAACGCAGCTCCATTCTTCGTGAAAGATGGATAAAAAGGCGCCCAGCAAACAAAAACCTCGAAAAATTATATGCGACCCGCCAAATACTGGCCGAATCACAGAGATGCCGATTCGCACGGGACTAATATTATCATAGGACCTGGGTGTTCGGCGAAATATGGTAGGTCATTTGCGGAGGAATTTTTACTTTACAAATTACAGACACGGCCGATTCGCACGGGATTAAGATCACAGACAATCTTCGCAATTATTACAAATGACTGGAGGTCACCAGATAATACTAATCCCGTGCGAATAGGGCTTTAGGCTACGTTTACACGATAACAATGTAGTCAAAAACGGAAAAGTTTTTCCCTTGCGTTTTTAAAAAGTTTCACATATACACGACGTTTTCAAAACGATTCGCATTTCCACATATCCGCGAAAACGGCCAAAAACGCTGTATTATGTATGCCAGGCCAGTAGTTGGCGCTGTCACCTTGTTAGTAAACCGTACCTGTTGCCTTGTGTATATGATGCATCTCTGCTGTTGGTTGTAATATTGGTGAAGTAAATCCACACTTTGCCGAAGAAGCGTTAGCAAACCCTTAAACCGCAACAACAGTACCATGTACTCCGCCATTGTTGTGTATGTTTGTTTGTGCTTGCCTTTAAAATCGACACGTACGGCGCATGTCTACATACCTAACACGTACTACGCACGCGCATGACGTCGCCGTTTTCAAAGATTCCCGTATTGGGTGTTTACACGGAAACGATAACGGTGGCGTTTTCAAAAATATGTGTTTTCAGTCCCCAAAACGCTGTTATAGTGTAAACGAACAGGCAAAATGCATAAAAAGTTTCCCATTTTTGGCTAAAACCGTTGTCGTGTAAACGGCCCTCAGAGATTCTTCTTTTGAAGGCTTGAATAAAGTTTTTCATTTGGTGATGTCGTCATTTTAGAGCCAGGTAAACCAGACGTCCCAGTAATATGTCATTCCCAATGTTCAAGTATCAGCAGATCTGCATAAATTCGACAGAAACTGCGAATCAAAAGCTCCACAACTTTTAATTAGTGTTCCACTGTATTAAAATCACATTTGTACACTCAAGAGTTGACACACAAAATAGAGAGAGATGGTGCATTTAGAAAAATACAAAAACAAACTACAAGGAGTAAACAGACGAGCTCTAAAACCACAAAACACAATCAGAGTATTCACACAAACTGAACCCTGAACATCCACAGTGTTGATCAATGACGACCAGACATCAGCTCCACTCGTGCTCAGTGTCACAGTATAGACGAATCAAGAACTATGATGAAAGTTTGTTTGTCCAAACGACAAAAACAAAACTCCAGTGTTGGAACAAAGGAAACGTCCAGAACATTAATTCAATGACTCAATCCCTAACCTAGCTAACAAAAATCTTCTAAGAAGGTTTTGATAACATTCCCATTAAGTTATGAAAATGTTATTTCTGAATGTTCTCTGAACATTCAAAACATCCAGTATTTTTTAAATGGTTATGTGAACATTACATTTGATCATTTTGCAAACATAATTGGAATGTTACTTTTGATTGCTTTCTGAAACAAGTAGTAACATTTAAAATACATGAGATGAACGTCTGACGACAGCGTTTCAGGAAAAAAAAAGTTCTGTGAACGCTGTATAAATGTTTATTATTAACGTTTTGAGAATATTATGACAGGCCAGCTAACTTCGAACAAACATTTGATTAAAATTATTGGAAGAACGTTTGTTCATAGCCTTGGCAGAAAGTTAGCCAGAGTTCTGAGAACTGCAGTCGTGCTTAGAATAAACAGCGTTATCGTGCTGGTGTGGAGGCTAATATAGTCAGGTTAAGGTTCTAAGTGTGAACAGGCTTCAAGACTCTTAAGCTCACACTGTTGTGCTTCGATGCAGGAAAACCTTATTGTAAACACATAACCCAGTGTCAGACTCTAGTTACATCGTCTGTGTGAACGAGCTGAAGCCGATAATGTGTAGTGCATGTCGTAGTGAGGATGTCAGTTATTTGGCGCTTTTCCACTTTAAATCAGCACAGCCAGTGAAGGATCGAACGCAACTGTTTTGAGCGAGCGCACCTTTTTTAACAACCAAAAAGTGGCCGTTCCCCCTGTTGTGGAAGAACAGACGTTCCTCTCGTTGATAGCAGAGGAGCGGATCCAGCGAGAGCTTGATGGGGCGACGCGGAATGAAAACGTTTTTTAGGAGTCGCGGCAGTAGAGGCGGCGCAACTATAACGACATGTGAATAATCCCGCCCACTCTAAAGCGATACTAAACTGCAGTGGAAACGCAAACCGAGCCAAACCGTGCCGTGCCGTACCGTACTGAGCCGTACCGAGCGGAGTCGTACCACGCAGTGGAAAAGCGCCACAAGTGAACCGTACCGTTACCAAAACGTGACGTGTAAACTCTGCTGATCACGGATTGGCCGGAGAGAATCGTCACTACCTGCGTCACTGAACTTGCGACACAAACACAACAGAACAGCTAGATTTAAATCAGCACAGCCAGCGAAGGATCGAACGCAAAAGTTTTGAACAAGCGCACCTTTTTTAACGACCAAAAAGTGTCTGTTTCGTTCTCTGTTGAGGAAGTACAGACGTTCCTCTCGTTGATAGCAGAGGAGCGGATCCAGCGAGAGCTTGATGGGGCGACGTGGAATGAATACATTTTTCAGGAGTCGCGGCAGTAGAGGCGGCGCAACTATAAACGACATGTGAATAATCCCGCCCACTCTAAAGCGCAAACCGTGCCGTACCGTACTGAGCCGCCACGTGCCGAGCCGAGGCATACCACGCAGTGGAAAAGCGCCAATTGAGTGACAATTTAAAAGGAGGAGAAAGTCTGCATGCAGACAAATACACAAAATAGAAAATAATCGCTGTGAATGGGAACTGCGAAATGAAGATGGCAAAATGAAACGAGAAGAAATGCAATTGTTTATAAGAGCACAACACAAATATAAAAGAGAAGAGCTTCTGGACGAGAATGTTAAATGTCATTCAGTCTTTACAGGATGCAGGAGTGTGAGCAAACACAATCACACCCTGCCCGAACATGTCTGGTAAATGCTTCAGGTGCTGAATTATGCGAAAGGAAATGTTTCTGCTGATACTGCTGTAGAATGGAAGCTTATTTCAGTCACTGACTGATTCCAGATTTGCATCTCACAATTCAGATTTGTTTTTCTCTGAATTCTGAGTTTACATCTCGCAATTGTTATTTTTATTTTTTACCCAGACATTTACAAATAACACATTTTAAAGATGTAACAACAATACCGAGAAACCGTGATATTTTTGCTTATTAAGGTTATCATACCGTCAAAATCTCATACCAGCCCATGCCTACTCACAATATCTCACTATCTCACTTTTTTCTTAAAATTGCAACGTTTATATTTTGCAATTGTGAGAATTTAAAATTTAAGAATTTATATATTTTGCAATTGTGAGAATTTTACATTTACATCTCGCAGTTTTGACTTTTATCTCTGCATTCTGTTTACATCTCACAATTCTGACTTTTTCACAATTACCTTTTTTATATTTTTATTTCCTGGCAGAAGTAAGCTTCCATGCTGTTCACAGACAGCCGTGATTCATTTATTCTACAAGAGAGATTGTCTAACAACAGACTACTATTTATTACTTATGTGACTAGAGTCTTCATCATGTGAGTGGATGTGATTTGAGCTTCATCTGATCGGCTGCAGGAGGCTGAGAGTGCGTTTGCTGGACTCCGTTCCCTTACTTCATCCAGAAAGAAGTCTTTATTTACTATTAAAAATATATAAATATATCTTTCATAGCAAGTCAGTTACGGAAATAGTAAATCTGAGCTTGATGATATCTCAGGTGAGATTGATTGAGGCTGCTGAAGAGAGATCACAGTCGTCTGGAGGTGTTTACTGCACCACCGCTGCTGCTGGTTTGAGTTTGTGTGCAGTGAGTGTTTCAGCTACTGTACGCTGCATGTCTCTGCGCTGTACTGACCACCCACTTCTTCATGGCTTTGGTCCTGAGGGTTTGTGTCCTGCTCATCTGGAGGAAATAAACTCTGTCTGAGGCCCATCAGCAGATCTCGGCCTTCACTGGCTGGAAGGTTCCCTAGATAGTACTGAGGCGCCAGCTCCACCAACCTACAACACACACACGTGACATCACTGCTGAATTAACTGCCTTCAACCAAAAGAAATTACATGGCTTTAAAGGGATTGTTCACCCAAAAATGAAAAATTACTGTTAATGTTCTCATCCAAGAAGCAGTTAGGTTTTTTATTCAGTAGAACAGTAAAAAAAGTTTTTTTTAGCTAAAAACCGTGGTTCTTGGTGATTCATAAAATGCAAATCAATGGCTACCAGAGTCAAAAAAAAGCATATCGGTCAACACAAAATTAATACCCATGGCTCCTGACAATATATTGATGTCTCATGAAGCAAAACAATCAGTCTGTGCAAGAAACTGAACATTATTTACAACATTATTACCTGTAATCCAGAGCCTCAGGCAAACGGTCCAGAGTAATGTCTGAACAAATCATTCTTTCGAACCGGTTCTTTTTAGTGAACTACTTGAACCAGTTCACCAAATCGGACTGAACCAGTTTGCAGAAAAGCATCGGATTTCCCTGTCTGCCTGAGGATCTGGATTACAGGTAATAATGTTGTAAATGTTCATTTTCTTGCACAGACTGATGGTTTTGCTTCATAAGACCTCAATATATCGTTAGGAGCCATGTGTATTAATATTGTGTTGCCTGATATGCTTTTTTTGACTCTTAAAGTGACGGTTTAAGTTGACTCTCATTGACTTGCATTTTATGAATCACCAAGGATCTGATGTCACATCACCAAGACTGAAGTTTCAGTAGGGATTTGACTGGAGATCGGTACTCACATTTGTGGGTGAATCTCAGATATGATGCAGATGCAGTTGTCGTGTGAGATGGTGAAGTCGTGGTAAAGCACCCAGCTGGGCGGGTTGGGCTGCGGTCGGCGGCAGTGGTACGATGAGAAGGGGTGGAGGTGAGCCACGTGCCGGTGCGTGAGCAGCAGATAGTTCCCTGAGCCGTCAACATCATGAGCAACCTAATGATCAGACACACGGGAAACCAATGACTGCTCCGATTTAGCAGTTAAAACACATCATGTCCAGTCATGACGGCAGAATAAACCCTACAGGCGCTATCAGGACCTCAACCTGAACACTGAGACTAAACACAGAGAATGATGAATGATTTTCATAGCAATGCAAATTGAATATATTATGTAGTGGTCGACCGATACATCGCCAAGGCCGATATATCGGCCGATATTTGGCATTTTTCAAATATCGGCATCGGCCAATACGTTTTTCTGTTTGGCCAATGCGTTTGTGGCGGGACTTTTATTTTGACAACGCGCCAGACTTTTATTTTGACGGAGCTGACAGCAGCAGCACCTGAACACACAGTGCTCACATTCTCCCTCTTGTTCGCTGTCGTAGTTTAACAATTCTGTCCACAGACAGAAGTCTGCCTAAAAATCAGAAAGAACTGTTAAACAAAGGAATTACAATGTATACAAAAATTATTATTACAATTGCTTTTATATTGTTAGTAATAGAAAGGCTCGGCCTTCACTGGCTGGAAGGTTCCCTAGATAGTACTGAGGCGCCAGCTCCACCAACCTACAACACACACACGTGACATCACTGCTGAATTAACTGCCTTCAACCAAAAGAAATTACATGGCTTTAAAGGGATTGTTCACCCAAAAATGAAAAATTACTGTTAATGTTCTCATCCAAGAAGCAGTTAGGTTTTTTATTCAGTAGAACAGTAAAAAAAGTTTTTTTTAGCTAAAAACCGTGGTTCTTGGTGATTCATAAAATGCAAATCAATGGCTACCAGAGTCAAAAAAAAGCATATCGGTCAACACAAAATTAATACCCATGGCTCCTGACAATATATTGATGTCTCATGAAGCAAAACAATCAGTCTGTGCAAGAAACTGAACATTATTTACAACATTATTACCTGTAATCCAGAGCCTCAGGCAAACGGTCCAGAGTAATGTCTGAACAAATCATTCTTTCGAACCGGTTCTTTTTAGTGAACTACTTGAACCAGTTCACCAAATCGGACTGAACCAGTTTGCAGAAAAGCATCGGATTTCCCTGTCTGCCTGAGGATCTGGATTACAGGTAATAATGTTGTAAATGTTCATTTTCTTGCACAGACTGATGGTTTTGCTTCATAAGACCTCAATATATCGTTAGGAGCCATGTGTATTAATATTGTGTTGCCTGATATGCTTTTTTTGACTCTTAAAGTGACGGGACTCTCATACTCTCATTGACTTGCATTTTATGAATCACCAAGGATCTGATGTCACATCACCAAGACTGAAGTTTCAGTGACTGGAGATCTGGAGATCGGTACTCACATTTGTGGGTGAATCTCAGATATGATGCAGATGCAGTTGTCGTGTGAGATGGTGAAGTCGTGGTAAAGCACCCAGCTGGGCGGGTTGGGCTGCGGTCGGCGGCAGTGGTACGATGAGAAGGGGTGGAGGTGAGCCACGTGCCGGTGCGTGAGCAGCAGATAGTTCCCTGAGCCGTCAACATCATGAGCAACCTAATGATCAGACACACGGGAAACCAATGACTGCTCCGATTTAGCAGTTAAAACACATCATGTCCAGTCATGACGGCAGAATAAACCCTACAGGCGCTATCAGGCCCTCAACCTGAACACTGAGACTAAACACAGAGAATGATGAATGATTTTCATAGCAATGCAAATTGAATATATTATGTAGTGGTCGACCGATACATCGCCAAGGCCGATATATCGGCCGATATTTGGCATTTTTCAAATATCGGCATCGGCCAATACGTTTTTCTGTTTGGCCAATGCGTTTGTGGCGGGACTTTTATTTTGACAACGCGCCAGACTTTTATTTTGACGGAGCTGACAGCAGCAGCACCTGAACACACAGTGCTCACATTCTCCCTCTTGTTCGCTGTCGTAGTTTAACAATTCTGTCCACAGACAGAAGTCTGCCTAAAAATCAGAAAGAACTGTTAAACAAAGGAATTACAATGTATACAAAAATTATTATTACAATTGCTTTTATATTGTTAGTAATAGAAAGGCAAACATTATAATACTTTATCATTTGCCGTCAGCATTCAGCAAATACGCATTTACATCATTTAAACAAATCTTTGAATGACTAATGAACAAACTTAGTCGAATCCAGCTGTGAGATCTTATGAAGTGTGCATTTGTATCCTGCATGACGTGTGCTCTGCGTGACGGTCGGTCCGTATGAATTGAATGCCGACAGGAGAGTTCAGCTTCATTGAGGACTAACTTTAAACTCTTGATTTCGAATTATGCTGCGCTTTATGCATTTGCCCACGGTCATATTCATGTCATTTTCACTGTGTGCTGTATGTAAAATGAGTGTAACCTTGGCTTTATTTGAAAAAATGTGATTCCCAACACGCACAAACTTCCCAGAATACTGAAAACTTCCCAGAATACCCTGTTGGTTACAGTGTTTACTTCCTTTTTAATTATATTTTTATTAAATATTTGTTGATTTGTGAAAAATACTTTGTCATTTAATGTATAAGCTTTTTTTTAAAATCCATTTTTAGATGATTTCAAATTTCTTAAATATTAAATAAAAGAAAAAATAATATCGGCTTTATATCGGCCATCGGTCACCCGGCTTTCTAAGATATCGGCATCGGCTGTCAAAAAACCAATATCGGTCGACCACTAATATTATGGTAATTTAAGACGAATAAGAAATAAATAGTTTGGGTGTGCACGATTGTATCAGTGTCTCTCCAGCACCAGGAACATCTGTCAGCCAATCAGAATGCAGCATTCTAGAGCTCTGTGGTTTAGTTTATAGTGTGCGTTTACCTTCAGGAAGAAGCCTGATATCAAAGCTCTCTTAATATTGGTGCTGTTGTCCTGGCAACCGAAAGCGGGAGGAGAGACAGGCAACTCGATTCGCTGCATCACCTCCAGTAGCTCCGCCCTGATCACCACAGCCAATCGTAAAGCAGAGGCATTCAAGAAGTTTGTCCTGCACCAGACCTCGTCTTCATTATCTGAGGACACACACACACATCAGTATTTATAATGATAGACATGAGATGCGTCAGTCAGTATGATGCGGTCACTCACGCTGCAGATAAGCATTATAGACGTTGATGAGGGTCATGTGATCTCCGTCTGGATGCAGCAGGGGTCGTCTGTGCGTCGCTGCCGCCTCCTCTTTATTAGCTGGTGGTGTTATGAAGCACGGCAGAGCTGCAAGTCAAACACACGCTTACTGAAGATGTGTGCGTATGTAAATGACTATGATCACAGACACTGATACGTATGCAAGTGCCGTACCGGTCAGCATGGCAGCGATGGTCAGCAGCTCATTCACGCAGTCAAACTCACAGGACGCAATCAAAGCTTTGGCTAATGGCGGCTCCAGAGGAAGTTCAGACATGATGATTCCCACCTCTGACAGATTCCCGTCGTCATCGAGAGCCGCCAGATAATCCAGATCCTCCAGTGCCTGCATCAGTGCCTCTGGAGCTACACACACGCACACGCACATGAGCAAACAAACACATGCAAGAGCTTCTCAAAATCACACGCTCTAATCCGACCGGCTGGTTTAGGGCAGTTTACAGAAATTATGGTGCAACAGGATTTTTCTGGTTATGTTTGATGTAATAAAAGCCTCTATTGTAAGAACTTGGATCTGGCAGTTCATCTAAAGCCAGGCACACACCATAAGACTGAAGATCACCACCCGACACACAATCACCTGCTTTCATTGTGTTTGTGCGCACACTACGTAACTACAAGATCCTAAAACCAGTCAAATATTTTTCAATAATTGAGACAAAAGTTGAAATACAAAAAAAACTTTATTAATGAAAATTGGAAATGTTGTCTTGGCAGTTAACTAAAATAAAATTAATTTAACTACTAAAATTACTAAAGCTAAAATAAAAAATAAATTAAACATAAATGGAAATATTCAAAACTAAAACTGACAAAAAAATAAATAAAAAATACAAAAGAACATAAAATGCCTAAAACCTAAACTGAAATTTAAGATTAAAATGAAAACTGAAACTAATTTAAAATGTTAACAAATACTATAATGGTACATAGCACAGCCTTCCAAATTAAGCTATAGTACTGGAATAAACCCTCGCACACAGAAACAGGAACAACTAAAATTAAAACTTGCTTTTCGTTAACTGAAATAAAGGTGAAATAATATCAAATACAATATAAATATTATATGTCAACTTTAAAAACTTTAATGATGAAAATTAGAAATGTTGCCTTGGCTTCTAATGAAATAAAATATCATTAAAAAGTACTAAAATGTCAAACTAAAACTGAAATCTAAACACATTTTTAAAAAAGGTAATAAAGGTGACAAGAGCACATAGCAAAATTACTAAAACTCAAACTAAAATGCAAATATAAAAAGAAAAGCTTATTTCATCGGACCAGTCGTCAAAAGCGACGAGCTTCAGTCTTGAAGTATGCAGGTTTTTCAAGCTCGACAGGCTGAACTGACCTGGCCGGTCCAGGAACTTGCACTGGCCCATGTCTGCAATGTCCAGCCGCTTGAGCAGCAGCACCAGATGACTGAGGTTTGCTTCTGTCACCGCCGGACCGCGAGATGCAGGCATCTCGTCCTCATACAACAGCTGAGAGTACAGCCGAAAACACACGCCTGCGGTGGACAGTAAAAAACACACACTACCATCACAACAAAACACACTACCATCACAACATTTACAGGCTGTCCTCAAAACGCAGAGCAATGCAAAAGTCATGGCTTTGATTCCCAGGGAATGCATGAACTGATCACCGTCTTTTTTTTAGTATTATTGAGATTTTTGTTAAAGGTCCACTGAAGTGCCTTGAAACAAGCAGCGTTGTTCAATATGTTGACGTAATTTCCCGTTCATGTGACACAAAGTGAAACCAGACTTCTTTCAACCCAATAGAAAGTATATTTACACTGTCTGAATTGTTCTCTATCCCCTATTTAGTGCACTATGTGCCACTGACCACACAGAAAATACTAAATCTATGAATATGTGACCAATTTCAGTCACAGCTTTAGCGTCAATTTATAAAAATCATCATCAGAAAATCTGATGATAAGCTGAAGTGCTGGGTGATGTTTTGAATGCTTATATATGTTCTAAATGTGAATTTTCTCATTGATTCTGAGCACACTAGCTTTTAGATAAGCTTAAGTCTACAATATTCATACTAAAAGCCAAAAAAAAGTCATTTTGATTTCATGGGGACTTTAATATTTTGAATTAGATTTTATTTTTATATTTTCTGTTTTCAAGTTAATTTTAGTTAAAGTAATTTTGTTGTCTTTTCAAGTAGTTTTCGTTGTTTATAAATATATATATACAGCTTTGTTAATTTTGATCAGTTTTAGATTGAAATATTTCTGTACATCGAGTTATGTAGTAATGATTTTTTTTAATGGTTTTAGTTTTAGTTAACTATAATAACCCAGAACTAATCACATGTAAACACTGAATGCAATGCAAGTTGCTTCACAAAAATGGATCTGCCAAAAGCATTAAAGGTGGGGTATGTATTTTTTCAAAAACGCTTTAGAAAACTGAGTCGGGCCGAGTACCAAAACAAACTTGTAGCCAATCAGCAGTAAGGGGCGTGTCTAAAGATAGAGATGGTGGATAAAAAACAAAAGAGGAAAACGTCTGCGGAACAAAAGAAGGCTTAAGGCAAGAAGTAGGACCCGTGTAAATTTCGGATAAGCTTTCCAGCGCTGGAGAGAACTCAAGGAGTGGAAAGCCTGCGATCGGACGCTGAGGTTGCTTTCTTCTCGATAGGTGAGTAACACTGGTTTTGCTTTGTTTCACAGAACTAATATATGCTGGCTTTTGCTTGAATATGCTCGTGTGTCATGTTCGCTTCATGAATGTGTCATAAAGACACATCCATTTCCACACCCTATAAGCCTGGAGCGTCTAAACCTCCTCCACTGTCTGTTTCAAGCGTCAGCTCCCAAAGTGTGTCCGAAAAGTAATATAATATGTTTAATACAGCAGATTCCGCCATAATCGTTGCCTGGGTTGCGTACGTATGTGTGGGGCGGAGCTATCAAAATAGGGGCGAGACCCTTGTGGGGTAGGGGCGTGTTTGTTTCGGTGATTTGAAATATCACTTACCCCACCTTTAATGCAAAACACATTTACTCCGCCTGATTTACAAATTCATATCACCTTCAATCTGTTCATCATTTCATTACAATAAAAGTGAATAGGACTTGTTGACGATAAAAGTAGTCCACAGGACTCATCTCACATGATGGCATGTAAAGCCCACTTTATGATGCTTTTGCATCCTTTTGCTGCTTGAAAGCTTCCATTTCACTCATTGTGACTGCATTCAGAATTTCAGCAGTCTTAATCAAGGTTTCCTCCTTATCCATTATTCTCTTATACGGTGGTGATTTACGCACTTGGCAGTGTGCTGTTGACCCTGCGGGCGCGTGTGTCGGCCTGCTGTTTGCTGATGGGCTGCTGAAGCTGTGAATCTGCTCGGATCTGTGGGTTGTAGATCTGTGGAGGAACAGCAGGATGAACACTGAGCCTCATACAACAGAACGAACACAAACGCTGAGCTCTGACTCACGGTCTTCAGCTGGATGCCGCTGTCGATGACGTATCGGATGTTGTTGAGAGAGAATGAAGCCTCTCCTAAGACGTCGGTGAGGATGACTCTGCGTCTCTGGGCTGGAGACTCTACAGTGTCCGGCAGCTCGTCCTGCTGCTTGTCCTCAGGACTCTCAGAGTTGTAAAGCTGCTGCGATGATCCTCCGACGCTGGCGTGCAGATCGATCACGCGCAGAGACAGCAGATGAGCGCTGAGAGACACACACTCCTTCTCTAGTGCCACGCGACACTCCTGAATCTCCTGACAGAACATAAAGAACAGACATCCTGATCAACACACATCACTGCTGGGTGAGCGCAGAACAGGGCTTTCTGTATATTCACTTAAATATAATGTAATATGATAAATAAATATTCATTACTTAATTACTTTAAAAAAAGAATTAACTGAAGTCAAATAAAATATAAATAACCTTAAACTTACTTATTTTAGCTAGTTGACAAGGCAACATCTCATTTTCATTTAGTTTAAGTTGAAGTACTGAAATAACTAAAACTAAATAAAATAAAACAATAAAAAATACAATAAAAAAAAATCACTAATATGACCAAAACACACAAAAAAAGACAACACTTTTTTAAAAATGAAAATAGAAAAATAAAAATTAACAAAAAAAACTATAATAGTATCTCAATGATACTAAAATAGCACTGCCTTCTGACTGTGTTGTCATTAACTAAAAATGTAACTATTAAAAATATTTTTTAAATAAAGCTGTTAATAATTGAATAAATCATTTAAAATAATAATTTAATAAATTTGTTAAAGCTGAAATAAAATATAAATAATAGATCAAAACTGATGATTTGAACATTTGAAATGTTGCTTTGGCTACTAATGAAATACAGTTTAAGTACTAAAACACACACATATATATATATATATATATAGTTCTGTTTTTATTTTAAGTTTTAGTCATTTCTGTATTTTTATAATATATTTTTTATTTATCAAATATTTATTTATCAATTAATTTTTTTCAATTTTAGTCATTTTAGTATTTAAACTTTATTTCATTAGTAGCCAAAGCAACATTTCAAATGTTCAATACATCAGAAGTTTTTATCTAATATTTATACTTTATTACAGCTTTATTAGCTTTTATTTATATATATATATATATATATATATATATATACACATATACATGTACATATACACACATACAAATACTATATGGTAAATATAAAACAGTGCCTCATGAATGAAGCTACAGTCCTGAAACAAACTCAAAGCAACTGGAGAGCTGATTAATTACAGGATTTTCTGTATATTTAAATATAAATTATTTATTTAAATAATATTTAAGTAAATATGTACAGTTTATTTCATAAATATGAGGATCTGAAAGCAAACATTTGTCCCCTGTAATTGTTTAATTTTGTGGATAACGCAGCATGCAAAAGTACATTTTGCATTAGGATGTAAAATTAGGTTTTCAACAGTAAATCTACATTAAACAAGTTGTTTAAAGTGAACAGCAGAGGTGTATTGTACTCTCAGAGACACACATGATCTCTGTTAAGTCACCCTCTCTTTCTGATGGTGTGAAACTGAGTTTTTCCAGCAGAATGAAGTCAGTTTGCTCAAAGGACTGAATGAGGGTGTGACGCTGTTGACAAAAGGGGAGGCGGTGTGTGTGTGTGTGTGTGTGTGTTTATACTGAAGAGATCTGTGCAGGGAAACAACACATTAGTCAGCTACTTTCCACAAATAAAGACTTTCCTCTGTGTGTGTCAGTCTCGAGTGATTCTGCTATAGACACATGTGGCTTTGCATTATTTACATGAGAGAGATTAAAGAGCAGGATGAGTCTCAAACAAGTGAGGAAAAATTTAAAAGAGCTATAATAAAGTTAAAACTTAAAGAAGAAATATATACTATACAGACAAAGTGTTGAACCTACAAAACACTTCTCATTGCATCCACAACTTCTTTTTAGTCCTTTTTGGAACTTGACTTTATAAATCTACCTTCTCTTTCCTGGCATTGCTAAATATCATCTTTTGTGTTCCATGCAAAATCTCATTTTATTTTGTGTAACCTGAGGGCGAGTTAGTTCATTGTTGAAGTGTGTGAACAATCTCAATAAGAAGCAGGACTCTCAGCAGATAAAGGATCAGATCCTCTTACTGACTCAATGCGCTTCAGAGGCGGCGTGACTCGAGTGTGAAATGAGACTCATACCTGCACACTAGGGAGGAACACCAGTATGTCTCCTTCCTCTCCCCTGCGGTGTAGGTCCAGGATCATGTGACAGGAAGCTGTGGCCAGGTCACGTCCTGCCGGCAGCTCTCGGTACAGTATTTCGGTGGTGTTGGTTTGCGAAGGAACGCTGAGGTGAGGAACACTCTCTCCCAGGAAGCTGGCGAAGGTATGAGCAACTGCGGGCGCGGTGAGCACCACCACCCTGAGCTCAGCCCACAGAGCTTCTGATTGGCTGTGATATTTGATTGATTCTGTCGCGTCTGGTGTGGACACCTAAATTGCTTGTCACTGGAATCTTGTCGCGTCGCATGTAGTTAGGACACGGTGTTAGCGTTCCACTGTACCACCCACGGCGTTTTATGTGTTTTAGGCAAATTTTACAGGAATGCTAAGGGGTTGAATAGATTGCTAATTCTTTCCTACAAAAAGCTCAAATTTATTAGTTGAGCTGTAAATTGCCTAAAATTAATAAGTGTCCTTTTAGCAGTGGCCCTACTGATCGAGACTGATGAATTTCTGTGTTACTGATGTAACGATTTAATCTTTCTAAAAAAAAGTATCTTCTGCTCACCAAGGCTGCATTTATTTAATCAAAATTACAGTAAAAACAGTAGTATTGTGAATTATCATTACAATTTAAAATAACTGTTTTCTATTGTAATATATTTTCAAATATAATTTATTTCTGTGATGCAAACGTGAATTTTCAGCTGCCATTTCTCGTGTCTTCAGTGTCACACGATCCTTCATATTTTATAATGTAGTAAATGAGTTATAACAGTAATAAAACTGTCACTGCACTGCTGTGTTGTGCCTAACAGCAACCTTTAGCCGTGACTACAGGCCTCATGTGCTTTATCGCTTAATTACGGCAATTTCTTTGCTTTTACAGACTGAGGGACAAGTTATTTTTCAGTGGTGTTCAACAGCATGACACAGATGCCGTTCATAGAGCTGGTCTTTTCACTGAATAATTGTAGGTTCATTAATAGTTGGCCTGGATAGGTGTATCTTCATTAACAAAGTAATTAGATAATAATGCCTTCAGTAATGTAGCTTTGAAGTAAAATACTGTAACTATCATATTTAGAGGTCATTGCAAAAGAATGTTGAACTTTACATTACAGTTTTGAGAAACTGGACATGCTGTGACACCCGGGAACTATCAACAGATCAGGAGCATGAAGCAGTGAGTGTTTGTGATGTACATAAAGACCTGCGTGCTTTTCCCCGTTCCTCCGTCTGCACTCAGGACGATCATGCTGTGCGACTCCATGTGCTCCAGCAGACTGAGCTTCAGACTCCACACGGGGAGCTGCTTCCGCTCCTCCAGCAGACTATAGTAGCGTGAGGAATACGGCAGCCCATCGTAGGGGTTCACTTCCAGATCGCCCAGATCCTCGTCTGCTATCTCGCCATCCTCCTCCAGGTCTCCAGACAGCAGAGACGATATGGAGAGATTGTCCAGGACTGAGAGCGTAGGTGAAGGTTTGGGGACGGCCGTGGAGGACATGCTGAATGCGGTCGGGCCACTAACAGAGCCCTGAGGAACACCGCAAATGAAAACTACCTGCGCAGAAGAAATCAATAAGAGTTTCATTTGATATCATGCATGCAACCAAATATTTAAGAGTTGGAGGGACTACAATATAATAATATTGATCAAACATGCCAATTAATATAAAACAGTTCATTCTAGGGATGCTCCGATCGATCAGCCGATAATCATATTTTATGACTCGATCGGTACTCACTACACTTGGCCGATCTCAGGAACCGATCGCAGTTTGATGCCGTCAATGCGTGATGACATACATGATGCGTGGGGACATAAATGATTTGGCGCCACAGTCATGTAATCACCGGTGTGGAAATGCGATGACATTTCGAGAAACAATAAAAAATGTGCTGTTTGTCGTGTATGTTTTGCATGATGATATGATGAATAGATGGTTCATTTTTAACGGCAGATTCAGTGACGTTAGAGCTGATCTGCACCTCACTGCACGCGTCTGCGGCGCGTTACGGCTCCACGGCCACCGGAGCTGATCACGGCCGCTCTAGTCAGTGCTTGTGTTTATCAGCCAGCCGCGGCACGTTTCTGAAGCGGCTCTCCACACTGCTTGGTTAAAAATAGTCTTTAGTGAGTTGTCACAGCGTGGAGGACGGAACAAAAACAGAGGTTTCCCCAGTAACGGCTGTACACAAAGCAGCGCTGAGCTCACAAACGCTGCTTTATCAGGCATATAACATGCAAGATGAAATGAAAATGACATCGAAAATTTTCTAAAGATAGTCTTCCTTCAGAAATACAGTGATATAAAAACACCCGCACCTCGTTTTGATTTGTAAATGTACAGTACAAGCTCATTTTTATTCAACCAAGCCTTTTGGAAAATCGGTCAGTTTGGATATTGTGGTGAGCGCCACAAATAAATAAATGTTTGGGAAACACATCCCACAGCACAACCACCTGAGCCCAACTTCAGTCTATTCATCACCTTAAGTTTAACTGCGTTTGTAGCTGGTGCCATAGCCAGACTGATAAACAAACACAGACCAGAAGTTAACTTCGGGCCAGGCGCGTGCGCCCGACGAAACAGTCTATATAAAGCTTGAAGCATCAGAATCGGCATCAGTATCGGCCGATCACCATGACAAGAAATCGGTACTCAGTATCGGCTGCAAAAATCCTGATCGGAGCATCCCTAGTTCATTAATAATAATAATAATAATAATGTACATCTATTCATTAATGACATTCAGCTGGGTAAAACAGTAATGATTTGTTCCAAGCAACTAATTTGATCAATTCAGAGTCTATATAAAGCTTGAAGCATCAGAATCGGCATCAGTATCGGCCGATCACCATGACAAGAAATCGGTACTCAGTATCGGCTGCAAAAATCCTGATCGGAGCATCCCTAGTTCATTAATAATAATAATAATAATGTACATCTATTCATTAATGACATTCAGCTGGGTAAAACAGTAATGATTTGTTCCAAGCAACTAATTTGGTCAATTCAGAGGGTTTTTTTGTCGCAATTCTGAGTTTGTATCTCACAATTCAGAGTTTATAATACAGTTTTGTCTCAATTCAGTTTTTTTTCTCACAATTCTGAGCTTTTCCCCACAATTGAGCCTTTTTACACAATTCTGAGCTTCTTTCTCACAAAAGAGTTTTTCATGCAATTGTTTTTTTTCCCTGACAATTTTGAGTATATGTCTCACAATTAAGACGTTCTTCCTCACAATTCTGATTTTATTTTGTATTTTTTATTGTGAGATAAAGGTCACAATTACCTGATTATTTTATATCTTGTTGTGCAAACAAGCTTACATACCATTCCTGTTAGACTAAGGAACAGCTGAACTACTCTTTCTTGCGAATGAAGCCAGTGAAGAACAGCCGCTGAAGCTCTCAGTAATTCTACACGTCAGGAATCCAGCACATGCTTCCAGCAAATGCACTGCAACATACAGCCTTCACTGCATTATGTAAAGGACACTACAATGCACAACACTATCCTGTTTCCCTCAGTGTTGCGTAAATGTGTCACCATCACACTCTTCAAACTATCATAACCGCCACTTACTCAATATGCGAGCGTCTCCCGAGTCGGGTTAGTCAGACGGTGTCTGATAAGACATGCAGTAGAATGATAATGTAAATTAAATTATGATAAAATGCTACAACGCAAGATACAAGATACAAAGAGACTCGTCAGCATTTCCTGTGATGTTTAAACACTGATGCATTTGGTTACTCTAAAAAGTGTGTTTGGGAGGGACTGATCAGGTGACACACCACAAACAAAACACAGGCAAAGTGAAGGAGAGATTCAGGAGGTTCCTGTAAGTCCATCAAAGAAACACAACCATTTTTATTTAGATTTTGAATTAAATTATATTTTATGTTTTCTGTTTTTATTTTAGTTTTGGTATTTTTATACAATTTTTTTAGCCTTTTTTCATGTCTATAATATATGTATATATACAGTGGGTACGGAAAGTATTCAGACCCTCTTAAATTTTTCACTCTTTGTTATATTGCAGCCATTTGCTAAAATCATTTAAGTTAATTTTTTTTCCTCATTAATGTACACACAGCACCCCATATTGACAGAAAAACACAGAATTGTTGACATTTTTGCAGATTTATTAAAAAAGAAAAACTGAAATATCACATGGTCCTAAATATTCAGACCCTTTGCT